TTTGATTAAACTAGGAAACACTCAAAATCTGAAACCACAGAATATATGAAGGTGGGCTTGTGAGAAAGCACAGCTGCCACTGCAGACTGAGGCAGCAAGCACAGCGTTCCAGCAACACTGGACCAGCTCAAAGGACAGGCAGAATATCCTCACACTACATTTAATGTCACAGAGTGCCAGGGGGCAAGCAGCTGGTTGTAAGGTCAGGAAGAACGGGGAACAAACAGTCCCTCAGCTGCCAGTCTTTGTCATCTAAGCCAGTGTTACTCCCCTAATCCACACACGCACGTACACACCCAAATCCACGTATTGTGTGTGCCTTTGCTGTACACAGGAGGCTTTGACAACCCACAGCAGAGCAATCAACATAAGGTAGGCTAAATAAATTATGGTGCCTCCATAAAATGGAATATTATATTAAAAAGGAGGCAGAGTTACAGTACTTACTTATTATATACCTCCAAGATACATTATATGAAAAAAGCAAAGCATAGAACAGTGTGTAAAATAAGCTACCATTTGTGTTTTTAAAGGGTGGTATGTGTGTTTATATGCATCTAGAAGGATACTGCTCTGCAGGGATCTGAATGACCAGCGGTTACACCAAGGAAAAAGAAAAATGCACATTGTGCGTATCCTGCATTACAGTTAGAGTACTTTACCAAATGTGTGTGTTCCTTTTGAAAAATCTTTAAAAGATTTACATAATAGGCATCTCTCTCAATGATGGTTAAGAGGCTGGGAAGGGGAGCAGGAAGGGAGGGACAAAGAGGGAAAGGTTAACAGGTACAAAAATACAGTTAGACAGAATAAATTCTGGTGTCCAACAGCACAATAGGGTGGACTGTAATTTATTATATAATTCAGAATAACTACAAGAATGAAATTGAAATGTTCCTAACACAGATAAATTATAAATGTTTGAGGTGATGGATATCCTAATTACCCTGATTTGATCATCACACATTGTATGCTTCTATCAAATACCACATGTACCCCATAAATATGTATAACTATTATGTATCCATAATAATTAAAAATAAAATTAAAGGCATCTCTTAATATGTGTGTCTTTAATATTAGAAACTTGCTACATTTTACATAAAAGAGAAACAAATGACTTCTATGAACTATTTTGATCATTTCAAGTACACAAGATTTAGTAAGCTTACACTACATTAATAACACTTATTTTTACTAATGGTAGCATTACATGTTCAAAATTTGAATGTTATTTAGTTTTCTGACATTACAATGGTACAACTTTAAAATGTGTATTACTTTTTACTTTATATTTTAGGAGTATTCCTGGGCCAAAGTACAAAATCTGTAGCTCTTTGTTACTAAACAGCTGTCTAAAAAAAACCAAGGTATCCCTCACCCCACACTTCCTCATCAATATGGCTTACTTTTTTGCTAATTTGTTTTTATTTTTTCTAATTTAAAACGTAAGTTAATAGAATACCAGAACAGTGAACATTATCATTTCCATAAATGCAAGAGTATGTACATTTTCCATACACTGAGTACTGTCTAGATTTTTTATTGCTAAACTCTGACCACTTCTTCAGGGCAATTCATGTACTTACTTTAGCATTATCATTAAGGATGAAGGTTCTGGAACCATCAGGAACAAGGGTCCCATCTTCACACAAGTTATTTAACTGCTGGGAGGCTCTATTTCATCTTATGTAAACTACAAATAATAACTACTCACCTCAAGGGTGCATCAAGGATTTATGTAAGCTAAATTTGTAGAAAGCAGTTAGCACAGTGCCAGGAAGAGTCCAAGAAAAAATGGTACTTACTATGATATATTTGTATGTATATATGTATACATATTAATGAGCTCTTATTAGTTGTGTTCATTAAAGGTTTTCTCCATCCTGTGATTTGCTTTTAGATTTTGGAATACATTTCATTGTGCACATTCCATTTTTATTATTAATATAACAATATTTATTACCATAATTATTATCATCAATTCAATCATATCTACTCTATCACTGATGATGACTATGATTCCTTTAATAATCATAGGACTCTCTTCCTTTCATCACGGGATAAATAACCTATCACGATGCTCTAAGTCTCCATCAGCACCCCAGGCTGCCCCTGCTGACTTACCAGATCTGCTACTTTAGCCAGATCAATCATCATGTTAATATCACACCCGCATTCAATAATGGTGAGTCTGCGCTTTTTACCTGTAAGTGAAAAGATGAAAATTTTACTTTAAAAAGATCCTGAAAAAACTCTAACCATCAACTCTAATTTTCATTTTTTAACTGCATCCAGTAAAACATCATGTAAGTTTACAGGAGTGTACCAGAAGTTCGTTTTTATAGGCAAAAACTGGTAAAATAAAATAAATTCCATTCTGTTTTTCTTGCTGTGTTCTAAATTTAAATAATATCAAAAGTCTACCCAGATGAATAAAAGTGCTCAAACAGGGAAAATTTGGACTGCACAGGCTCCATGATAACCATGATCCTGCTGTTCAGCTGCAGGCCAAAGTCTTTACCTCTATCAAAACTTCCCGTATTCCCACTATAGCTACAAACATCCTCAAACATAATGCAACAGAATATTCATAACAATAATTATTTCTAAATTAAGGTAAAAAGAAAATGGTCAAGAAAATATGGGCTGGGTGCAGTGGGAGGCCAAGGCAGGCAGATCCCTTGAGCCCAGGAGTTTTGAGACCAGCCTGAGCCACATGGGGAATCTCCATCTCTACAAAAAAAAAAAAAAAAAAAAGGGAAAAAAAAGAAAACTTAGCCAGGCGTGGTGGCATACACTACTCAGGAGGCTAAGGCAGGAGGATTGCTTAAACTTGGGAGGTTGAGGCTGCAGTGAGCTGTAATCACACCACTGCATTCCAGCCTGTGCCACAGAGTAAGACTCTGTCTCAAAAAAGGGAAAAGAAAATATGGATGCTCCAAAGATAAAGAAAAGCCTAAATCCAACTATACTATTGCAATAACAAGAGATTTCAGACTGCACATTCCCATTCTACCACTGGAAGTTTGTTTCATTTTCCCTCAAACTTGGAAAGGTCACCATCTCCCAAAGCAGACAATTCTCATAGGAAAAAGAGAAAACTCGCACTTCCACCAGAATGTGGCTTCATAAGGCAAACGTGCACATTTTCAATGTGAACATTATCACATATGTTATCTCCGGGAACTTATCTCTGGGTAATTATCTCCGGGAACTTACCCTTTTCTGAAGCTATAGCCAACTTAGTAAAAGTATAAGACAGGTAACATGATATGACAATATTTAACATGTTCCGCTCAAGAAAACAACAAATGCATGCATGTCCCTCAGATGACAACAGCCACACCAACTCTGTGTCTGTTGCGGCATCTCCTACCTGACACAATTGTCACAGGGCCTCTGATCTCGGTCAGCTTCTGTCGGGTGAAGTTCCGAATGAGGCATTGTATCAAAGTGCTCTTTCCAACTTTTGGAGGCCCCATCACCACTACCACTATTGGTGGGGGCTCCAGTGGAGTTCGATCAACCACTGGAATATGATGCTTTTTTGTCTTCAAATCCTGAGTCCTATTCATTAAAAATAAATAAATAAATAAATAGTAAACTCACTTTCAAAATAGAGTAAAAGGTATCAACTTTATAAGTAAACTTTTTTAGTAGATTTATATATATGAGTACTTTAGCACATTTTATTGAGAGGACAACAGACAATATATAATTAACTTGTCAGTTATTAACTCGTTAACTTCTGGCCCCATCCAAATAACTGCTGTTCAATAAAGATGTAACAAGACGACTTCAATAGCATAGAAAGCTGAAAATTAAACACTCCTTAAATCTGACTGTTTTAAGAGTGATTTTAATAGTTTTTAAAAAAACCAAAAGGTAAATACCGAGGCAGTGCATCATAACAGAGCAGAGGCTCTGGAGTTAAATTTGGCTCTCCTACTTACTGGTTACATGATTGGAGGTAACTTGTTCTCTTGACCTCAGTTTTCTTACCCATAAAATGAGGGCAAGAATGATTCCTACTCTGGTAAGGCTGCTGGAAGCATTTAGTTGAATAATGTTTAAAGTATACCGCTAGGCATATCACAAGGACACACTAAATAAAGCTATGTTAGTATTAAATATTGTAATTTTTTATTTTATATTACAACTATGTAAAACATACCTAGGGGGAAAAAAGCACACTTATCACCATAGAAACAGTTTAAAATTTAGGAACAAACAAATTCTATAAATTCTTGCATCTTGGGCAATAAACACCAACCAGTGTGCAGATGCTGGAGGCAAGGCAGCTTCTATGGGAAAGCTTCTCACGTTTTAGTGAAAGCCACACACCACGCATCTCCATGTCCTTTGGAGCTGGACTAGACTCATGAATCCAAATGTCACCTGTGAGAGGCTCCTACTATTTAAAAAGAATCAATGGAAGAACGACTAGACTGTACCCTAACATACCTGTGAAAGGATCGAGCCATCCGCACAGCAGACTGAACTGCAAAAGCTTTGGGATTTCTCTTCCGGGCATCTTCTTCCTCTCCTAGCCGGAGATCCTGCAGATGCCGCTTCTTTTTCTTTTCAGCTTTGGGCCCACTGTTTTTCTTTCTGTGTTTCTTCTGGTCTTTAGTCTCCATTGTAGCTATTTACCAATAACAAGTAACTCTAACCTACAAGGAAGAAGGTTGGGGTAAGGAGGTGGGAGAAGCATTTTACAATCCAGGCAATACCCAGGGAAAAACAGTAAATTTTATTTATTTCTTTATGAAGAGATGATGTATTTATTTACTGAACAAGGGTAGAAATTGCTTAACCATTGCCAATTTCATTTCTCTCTGTTATGCTATAAATTAGATGAGTTACCTCTCCTAAAGTTACATTTTATTGCTGTTACTTTTTATTCATCTTAAGTGTCAACATCAGCAGTATCTATTTCTGCAAGGATAGAAATATTCTATATCTGTACTTTTCAGCCATTTAGCCATCAGCCACATGTGGTTACTTAACCATATACTTAGGGAAACTGAAAAAATGAATTTTTAATTAATTTCATTCTAACTCTAAAGTCACATGTGGCTACCACACCGGACAGCTCAGGCCTAAGTATCAACTGGAGTAAAGAAGTGGTTTCTCAACTTAAACTAAAACTTACATTTTAATAAAAAATGTAAAACGTTTTTATGAACTTCCAATATGATCGCAGTATTACTTTTAGTACCTGTTGACTCTGTAAAACTCCTAAATTACAACTTACTTATATACATTTCAGAAATAGCAATATATCTTAGCACATTTTATAAAGAGTACAACAGACAATATATAATTAACTTGTCAAGTATTAACTTGTGAGATAGGACTGGTTCTAGATGATACCTGGAGACCCCATGAACTTACAGAGACCCTTCCAGTGATTTCTGAGTTACCTGGGAATCTGTGGCTAATAAATTGGTAATCACTAAATTAGTGAGTTTTTTTAAGGAAATGGGGCTTCATAAAATCTGACAGCTTGATTTAAAAAAAAGGGGGGCAGCAGGATACTATTTCATTCAATTAAGGTACTGTATTCATTCAGTTTAATAAATATTTTGTCTGTCTATGATGTGCTAGGCACTGTGCCAGTAAATGGATACAGCTATGGTCTGACTTGCAGAGGAAATCCAAACTAGTATCTTCCGCGCCATGCAATAAGGGCGACATTGGAAGGCTGCACAGGGTGCTACTGGAGCACGGAGGTGAGTCAGAGGCTTCCCACAGACCCACACACCAGCGGAAACAGAAAGTCTTTATATATCACCATAATGTCAAGAACACTGGCCGGGAGTTAGAAGAGCTAGGCGCTAGGAACGCTTTGAAACTGAAGAGCTGTGTGATTTCAATGATTATGTTTCTTCTCTGTTATATTTTAGTTCGGAACTTGTACTAATGTTTCTCTCCCTGTCCTTCTTTGGTGGGAAAAGCACAATTTCGGGTCAACAGATCCGGCTCAGGTCTAAGTCGCCTGCCGAGACCACGTCGCCAGGAAACTACGTCTCCCAGCCACCTTCCCTCCCTGTCCGGGCTCTCTGCAGGGATTCCTCCGGTCACTCTCCCAACTACCACAGGACACCTCCGGCAGATGAGAAATATGCCGCTCCTCGGGAGCAAAGATGGCCCAGAGGACCGGGGAAGGACCTTCTCACGCGCACGACTCGCGACCCTCCCAGTGCCCCAGAATCAGGGACCCCACCGCCGCCTACCCCAGCCCGCTGTACTGAACCTGCTGGCAACTGCGACTCCTCAGTTCAGCATGGACACCGCCGGAAACGGAAATTCACCGTCGCGCCGACTCGCCGGAGGGAAACAAGAAGGCAGAAAAAAGGGACCGGCGTGGGGACGGCTTTCAGGGCCTGAAGAAAGACTGCTGAAAAGCTGAGTGCGGACGCAGGCGCAGTCCACGCAGTGCGTTTCACCGGGTCCGGGTACTTACCGAACCCGCTCCACCCCGCCCTCGGAATCCGCGGCCTCAACTTCCGCGGTGGGACTCTGGAGCAGCGTGCACCGCACTCGCCCAAGTCCTCGCCGAAGGCCAGGGCGGCTCTGCGGCCTGGCGCCGGTTAGTTAGTGTGGTGCAAAAGCCGGAAGGAGACACATTTGGTCTTGGCCTCCCGGCAGTCACCGTGCCAGGGACAAATGGACTATCGCTCGATTTGGGGTCCACTTCCTCCTCTTTAAAGATGCGAGATGAGGGGGATCTCGCATCCTGGGGTGCCCTAAAGCCCTCTTTTGGCAGGGCGCGGGGTCTCACGCCTGTAATCCCTACACTTTGGGAGGCCGAGGCGGGAGGATCGCTTGAGCCCGGGAGTTCAAGACAAGCCTGGGCAACATAGGGAGACTACCTCTCTCTTTCTAAAAAAAGAAAAAAAAAATTAGCCGCGTTGTGCCGGGCGCCTGTGGTGCTTGTGGTCCCAGTTACTCTGGAGGCTGAGGTGGGAGGATCGCTTGGTCCCAGGAGGTGGAGTTTACAGTGAGCTGAGATGAGCCACTGCACTCCAGCCTGGGTGACAGAGCAAGACACTGTCTCTAAGAAAAATAAATAAAATAAGGCCCTCTTTTGCCAGGACCAACAAACCCTGAGGGCAGGGACAAACTGACCAAGCCCAAACTGCCTCGCCTTCCCTGCTCCCAGGAAAGGGCTTTCCCTGAGGGAATAGAACATCTTGCCTTTTTTTTCCTGCACAGCTTTGCCTTCCCAGGGATCCGCCCATTGCCACCTGAGGAAATGCCTTGGAGTCCATCTAATCCCCAGCCCAGCTACTTGGGATGCCTACAGAGCGTACATTGTCAGAGGATGCATCTTCCTGTAGTCTTAGAAGGTTTCTTTTCAATATGATCCCGCTGGTGCATTCAAGGCTCAATTCTACACCAAAAACTAGGCCCACTCCTGTCACGAGAACCCCAGGCATCAGGTCCTCTCACAGGCACCTTGTTCTGGCCTTCAGCAGCCCCCAGGTATTCACTCCGCATATGCTATATACTGGGTGCTGGACTAGAGAGGCTACCTACGTGGCACATGCTTCCCTTATCCGTGAAGAGCTTAGAATATTGTAACTTCTTCACACTACACCACTTACTTCTTGAAGATTTCAGTATCCAGGTAGATAATCCTTCCAACGTCATTTTGGTCTCATGAAGCCCACTCCAGTCCTCTGCCCTACCTTAGCTTCCCCCTCCCTCCATGATCAGACCTTAGACCTTGTCAGGTCCAAGGACTGCAACCCCCACAGTATCCCACTCTGACCACCACCTCCTGTCTATCCAGGTCACTCCCTATACCGCCCTGAAACAAAACTCCTGCAACCTTACCAGCACCTCCAATCCAGATCTTACTACCTGTTCACTGTTTCTTCCTTCCTTTATGGCCCTCTCTAGTGAGCCAGCTTAAACTCCATGGCCAACCATTCTCATTAATCCCTTGCACACCTCCTTAACTCATGCACCTCCCTGTCACCTTCTATCTGCTTGGTAAGATGGGGGCACTGGATAAACTCAGCTCTCCATCTATTCCATGCCACAACAATGCAACTAAACATGGCTGGAGGAAAACAGGACCATGCCAGCAGTCCTCACTTTAATCATTCTTTGCCTGGTCTATTCAATCTCCCATTGTTCCAGGTGAATATTTCACACTTCCTTCTCTCTGTTCAATCCTTCCCACTGCCTCTCCCTTCCTTGCCTCCTGCTTTACTAAGAGAATAGAAGTGGTCAAAGTCTTCCACAGACTCCCACCTCCACCTCCACCCATCTGCCTCCTATTGCCTGCCTGTGACTGTGGATGAACAACCGCTATGTCCAGCCAAAGAATCCTGCACTGGACTGCTGAATCCCATCATCTCTTACTGCTCCAGGGTGTCACTCCAGCCAGCCTATCCTTTCTCTAACATCAGCAGTATTTTCCTTTCTACTGGACTCTTCTCATCATCACACAACATGCAGCTATTTCTGTCATCTTCAAAACACAGAAATTACTCGACCCTATTTCCTATACCAGGACCTGCACCTTTTCTACGTTCCCTTTTGCAGCAAAACTTCATAAAAGAACGGTCAATACATACTCTGGCCCCTCTCCTATTCTCTTTGATTCACTTGTCTCACAGGACTCCACCTGCAGCCCTGGATGCTCTTTCTCAGCTGCCTTTGCTGGTTCCCCTGCTCTCACTTGTTTAAATTAGAGCAAGGCCATAGGTTTCGGGCTTCAGTTTTCTTTTCTTCTGTGTCTATACTTATTCCCTGGATGATCTCATTCTGTCTCAGTTTTATATTCCATCTGTGTCAGTAATTGTTATGTATTGGGTCTGTCCCTGCCCAAATTTCATGTGGAATTGTAATCCCCAATGTTAGAGGTGGGGCCTGGTGGGAGGCGATTGGATCATGGGAGCAGAGTCTTCATGAATGGTTTAGCACCATTCCTCTAGTGCTGTTCTCGTGATACAGTTCGCACAAGATCTGGTTGTTCAAAAGTGTGTAGCACCTCCCCGCCCCCCACTTCCTCCTGCTCCAGCCACGTGAGATATGCCTGCTTCTCCTTCAGCTTCCACCATGTTTGAAAGTTTCCTGAGGCCTCCGCAGAAGCTGTCGTGTTTCCTGTACAGCCTGCAGAATAGTGAGCCAATTAAACCTCTTTTCTTATAAATTGCCTAGTCTCAGGTACTTCTTCATAGCAGTGAGAGAATGGACTAATACAGTTATCAATTTATTGCATCTCTGCTATAAACTCATTCTTCATTGCCTGCTCTGCAAAAACTGAACTGGGCCATTTAAATATTTCCCTCAGACATGATGTTAGGTTTTGTCAGTAGAGAGCAATGGAGAGATCTTGCAGGCGAAAGCAGTCTTTGTTCCTGGTTCTCCTGTGCTGCTTGGCCTGGCTCCTGCAGGTGGGGGTCTTCTCCAGAAACCCAGTGGCCAGTGCCCAGCAGGTCCCACTCCTCCCACCAGCTCCAGGCAGTTTTGTTATAGAGTAACTCTTCTGAGACACCGCTCCTTTCCCCAGCACCTAAAGAAGTATTTCTAGTAAGTTCCAGTGATATAGCACCAGTGACTCTCCTGACATGCAGAGGGCCATGACTGGGTTCCTCTGATGAGGTGCAAGGGAGGTGCACTAAGAGGAGAGGACTCTCCTGGGCTCTCTACCTCAGCCCTAGACTAGTGGTTGCTCCTTCTATACTTCCTACTAGTCTGTGCCTGGTTACTCCACTTCCCTGTTGCAATGAACACTTCTTTATATACACGTTTCCTGTTCAAATGACTGTGGGGCTTCTCTTTCCTAATTAGACTCTGACCAATACACTATCATTTGCCAACAACTCCCAAAGTTTTATCAATGACTCAGACCTCTAACCTGAACTCCAGCTGCCTCCATGACATATCCATTTGGATATTTAATAGACATTTCCAAAGTGATATGCCAAACAGAACTCAGGATCTTCCCTCTCAAACCAACTGCTCAGCAGTCTTATGATCTCAGTTGATGGCAATTCCATCCATAAAGATGATTAGTCAAAATGCCTCCCACACACCTTTGTCTGTTCGCTTTTTCTATCCTCCATTTCCAATCCATCAGAAAATTCCTGTTGACTCTACCTTTGAAGTACAGCCAGAATCCAACCACTTGTCACTACTTCCGCTGCTACCCCTTTGGGCTGTGCCCCATGCAATCACACATGGATGACTGTGAAACCTTTCTCTTGGCCTCCCTGCTCCCACCTTTGCCCTTGAACAGTCAGTTCTCAATGAAGCAGCCAGAGGGCTCCTGTTAAAACATAAGGCACTATTGGTAATTTAAATTGGTATAAATGCTTTGGAAATGATTCAGCATGTCTATTATTACTGAGCATGCACTTACCCAGTGAGCCAGCAACACAAGTAGATACAGAAAGGCACATAAGAATGTTTGGCCGGGTGTGGTGGCTCATGCCTGTAATCACAGCACTTTGGGTGATCAAGGAGGGTGGATCACGACACGAGGTCAAGAGATGGAGATCATCCTGGCCAACATGATGAAACCCCATCCCTACTAAACATACAAAAAATTAGCTGGGCTTGGTGGCACGCACCTGTAGTCCCAGCTACTTGGGAGGCCAAGGCAGGAGGATCACTTGAACCTGGGAGGTGGAGGTTGCAGTGAGCCAAGATTGCGCCACTGCACTCCAGCCTGGCAACAGAATGAGACTCCTTCTAAAAAAAAAAAAAAAAGAAAGAAAGAAATGTTCATAGCATTATCCAAACTGGGAAAAACCCAGACATCCACTAGCAAAAACCTAAAGACAAAACTGTAATATATATTTACAATGGAACTATATAGAACAATGAAAATAACCACCACATGCACCAACATAGAGGATACTTAGCGAAAGAAGCCAGACGCAAAGAAGAACGTATCAGTTGATCCATTCAAAGCTTGAACCCAGGCAAAATTAACGTGTGGCAACAGAAGTGAAGCTAATTGTGACTTTTGTGGAGGAGGGAATGTATAACTGGGTGAGGGCTGTTCTGTTGCTGGTGCTAGCTGATGAGTGTGTTTACTTTGTAACTATTTACTGAGCTTTAATATGGCAAACTGTGCTCCTAGCTATTTAGCCAACTGATTTGAAACTTACATTCACACAAAAATATGTGTAGCAGCTTTATGCATAACTACCCCAAAGTGAAGTCACCAAGATGTCTTTCAACAGATGAATGGATGAACACACTGTGGTATCCATACAATGAAAATCATTTGACAATAAAAAGAAGTGAGCTATTGATTCACACTATAACATGGATGGATTTTAAATGCATTTTGCTAAGGGGAAAGTCATCCCCAAAAGATTCTGTTTATATTACATTCCAGAAAATGAAAAACTGTAGGGATGGAAAACAGATTGGCAGTTGCCAGGGGCTGAGGAAAAGGAAAGATTAACTACATAGAGGATGCACAGGAGAATTTTAAGGGGATGGAACTGTTCTGTATCATACTGAGGAGGTGCTTGCATGACTATATCCTGATCAAACCCATGGAACCATACATGATGAAGTGGGAACTTTAATGTATGCAAAATTTAAAAATTAGCCAAGATGTCTGGAGAATCCCAGGATGGAATGAAGCTTGTAACAAATGACCTAACTTAACTATAAATGTATGATATAACATCACTGGAGCAGGTGAAGAAAAAAGAAACTGGCCTAAGTAACTTTGGAAAGTAATATTATGACTAGAAACGGAAAGACTGAGGATGAAAGGAATTGTCCACAAACATTGTACTTTAGTTGGTGAATTTGTTTTTCCAAGGGGTATGCACTAACAAGTCAGAGATGGCTTTACTTGCATATTAAGATTGAATAAATGAGTCATGGATAGTGAGAGTCAGATTTCTCACTGTTGGAGAGAGAAGTCACAGTGAGCAAGGTGGGGAAGCTAGAATGAACACTGTGGTGCTGGATTAGAGTCAAAATGTGTGTGTGTGAGTGCGCATGTGTGTGTCTTAGCTCTGCCTAGTGTGCCCCAAAGCAATGACATCCCAGCATTAGTGTGCACACTGAGCTCCCAGATCTTGGTTTCTAAAACCATTCTCCGATAAAAGGAACCAGAGCTCCTTGGAGAAATGGCTGAGTCTAGGGCTAGGGTAGTAAATACATAAGAGGAGCCTGAAGCATCTTGTAGCGCCAGAAAGTAAGGAAATTGCTACAAACTGAAGGATGTTGGTGTGTCAAAAAGGTCAGAAGCCAACTTACTGAGCTCCCAGTGGCTGAGCTGGAGCAGGGTGAGCTGGTGGGAGGCAGGGTCTGGGTGAGAGGGCTGGTGGGAGCTTAGGGCATCATGTAACTAACCAGGGAAATCCTTGGAATGGGAATCAGCCTGGCAGAAATAAGAAATTGGCAGAATGTTTAGGAGAAGCATGCATTGGGTGGACATTCGTGTTGAGAAAAAGAATGATGGGGCAAGGGTATTAATCAGAGGTGGCAGAAATGGAGGCAGAGGATGGGAGGTTTTTCTGACAGCAAGTTGCAGGGGGCAGAGCATCAGGGAGAAGTAGCCCATGGAAACCAGGGCTGAACAACGGTCCCAGAAGGGGAGTTTGGTAGCAGGTGGGGTTTGTGAGAGATCAATAGAGGAGACTGCTGGGCAAAGTCTAGGGGTTCCCATAGTCTCTGGGAGTTAGAAAGGACCAAGGGATCTTACCAAAGGGAACTTTGATTAGTGAGTGAATGTGGGGCCCTTTGACAATAGGTGGGAGCTCTGCATAGCACGGGTGACACTGGCAGACTGCTCAGTGGGCTCTGTCGAGACCCGTCAAAAGCCCTGCTCTCCTGCGGTTTGGTTTTGAAAGGAAAGGGTTCATCAGAGCCAGGTCAGGGATTTCTGCAGGATGGGAGCCTCACTTGGGGGCTGATTGGAGATGTCAGGTAAAATGTCCTCCTTAAGGAGGGATTGATTCAAGTGGGAGGGGCAGGAGCCCTCATCCAAAGGCAGTGTCTGGAGGTAGGTGAACCCAAACTCCACCCACCTTTTCTCTTATTCCACTGGGGCTGCTTTAACAAAATACCATAAATTTCTATGGCTTATAAACAACAGAAATTTATTTTTCACATTTCTGGAGGCTGGAAGTCCAAGATCAAGGCACTGGCAGATTCCACATCTCCTAAGGCCTGCTTCCTTATAGATGGCAGCTTCTAGCTTTTTCTTCTCGTGGTAGATAGGGAAGCCCTTTTCTCTTCAGCCCATTATGAGAGTACCAATCCCATTCATGACGGCTCTACCCTTATGACCTAATCACCTCCCACAGGTCCCACCTCCTAATACCATCTCATTAAGCTTTAGCATATGAAATAGGTTGGGGGTGGTTTACAAATAGTCCAGAGTACCTTGTGACATCCTGAAGGCCAGAGTCAGGGTGAGAGGGCCCCTTCCCTCTTCCTCTTGGAGAGTGAAGCAGGGAATATGAAGGGAAATCAGAGTCTGTTTCAAAGGATATCGCATGTTAGTGAAACACTCATATTATAGATAGAAAGCCTGATGCCAAGAGAGCAGAGAGAATGGCCCAAGGCCATACAGCAATCCATTGGTAAAGGGGCCAGCGCATATCTCTGCGGCAGGAAATAGAAGTTTTGAAAGCACCCTTGCAATGACTATAATGATACAAGTGACCACTACTACATGCATTCTTCCATTTTTCACAACCACCTGTGAGGTCAGTTTTGTGTAGCCCGTTTGACAATGAGGTCCGAGAGGAACACAGTGTGTTGTGACGTTGTCAAAGTCAAAACACCTGCCATCCTGTCTCTTATACACATCTAGATGTAGAGGAACACAGTGTGTTGTGACGTTGTCAAAGTCAAAACACCTGCCATCAGTGCAGCCACTGGCTAAATTTCAGGTGTGCACACAAGGATTTCATTAAACTTGATGAGCGGTTCTCAGAGCCAGACCAGGCACTGAGGAGCGAGGCAGCTTTGAGGAGGAAGTGGCACTGACGCTGGAAACTTAGGTTCCGATGGGGACAGACCTAGGAGAAAGAGGACTAAGAGTGACAGGTGGGAGACAGAGTGAAATTATTCAGAGGAGGGAGAGGCAGCTTTTCTCTGAAGGCTGAGTGGGTGGAAGTGAACTTCGTGGATGAAAGAGGGCTCAGAGTCTAAACATCTCTGAGAGCTGAGAAGCTATTTATCTGGCCTCTGGATGTGTATCTAAATGTATATATTTTTTTCGGTCAAAATGAAGTCACTTACAGACTATATTTTAAGTGAAAAGATTCTGCAATTTACCACCTGCTGGCTCTGACCCAGGATGGCCCAGCCCTTCCTTAGTTTGCACTTCTTTCCTCATGAAGTTAAATTGTTTTCATGTTTTTAAGGTATGCATTTTGTAGTCAGTGAGCTGTCATTTTACATTCTTTGCCCATATCTCCTTCCCTTTAATAATTATGGATTATGATCTCCCATTTACATCCAGGAAACTTCAAGAGGTTACTGAGGGTTGCCTTCAAGAAAGGGTTTGTAGCCTATCTGAACTTGTAGATTTCTTGGATAATTTGATGCATGTGCAGAAAAATGAATTTTTTTTTGCTTTCACACACATTAATATTAGTCTGTTCTCACACTGTTAATAAAGACATACCTGAGACTGGGTAATTATAAAGGAAAGAGGCTTAATTGACTAACAGTTCCACATGGCTGGGGAAGCCTCATAATCATGGCAGAAGGCAAGGAGGAGCAAGTCACATCTTACATGATGGCAGGGAAGAGAGAATGAGAGCCAAGGAAAAGAGGTTTCCCCTTATAAAACCATCAGATCTTGTGAAACTTATTCACTACCATGAGAACTTTATGGGGAGAAACCACCCCCATGATTCAATTATCTCCCACCAGGTCCCTCCCACAACACATGGAAATTCTGGGAGCTACAATTCAAGATGAGATTTGGGTGGGGACACAGCCAAACTATATCAGATTCAATTTCACATATTTTTGGACCCAGGAAACCCCACTAAGGCCAAGATTACATATGCTTTTCCGGAGTCTGCTTCTGAAGTCTTCAGGAGGCTCCTGTGGAGAAAGGAGCTGGTGTCCAATCCAGTGGACCTGTGGGTGGGATGGGCAGCTTCCTCCACATTCCCTGTTTTCCAGGCTCAGGGGGGCAGCCACTGGGAAACAGGATGCAGTCAGGTCACCTGCAGGCCATTCACCTACCAGAGATAAGGCTGCCAACAGAACTCTTAGTGCTGATGGGTGTGCTCTGTGTCTCACTCTTCCTATGCATAACCATTAGCCACATCAGTCTGCTCAAAACCTTCCTAACTTCCTGCCATCCAAGGTCCTTGCTTCTTTCATTCATTCAGTCAATGTTTTCTGAGCATGTACTGCACCCCAGGGAACAAATGCAAAAATGCCCCTGCCCTCCTGGTGCTTGCATTCTAATTTCTAAAAAATGGCCTCCTGAAACTGCCAGACTTGTTTAAAGAACTGCTTCCTCAATGTGTTTCTTAAAAATGATGGTATTTTGGGGGCAGAAAAGCAAATAATCGCAGTTTGAGAAAACAATGTGGTTCAAAGGATTAAAGAAATTAGAGGCTATAGAGGGTCTGCACGAGAAAAGATAAGGGAACTCGTGAACCTTTTGGAGTGGAATGAAGCAGTAACAGAATGACTGGCTTGGAGGTTATTTCTGACGGGGTATATAAACCCACTCTGGAAATAGGAATGACCTGGCAGAGGATTAGGATTCAGTGGCCAGAAGTAGGACCTGTTCCCAGCAATAACAAATTTAACAATTCCTACTAGAAATGGGATCAGGAGAGAGGGAAATTCACGATCAGCAGAGGTATCAACATCTTCAAGTAGCCGTAACAACTACTTTAATTTTTTAGTAAAAGTTTTTCCAGGTCAATAAAAAATTAAGGGGTTAAAAAGTAAGAGTGATACTTAGATAAAGTTATCAATAACAACCAAGACCCAGAAAGCTTACCCAGCTAGTCAATGAGGAACCACGGATAAGGCTCTTACTACTAACCCCATGCTTTTTCCACTACATCATGCGGGGAGTTGAGCAGGGTCATCTTTCATCAGCAGTATCTAAGACATGGGACACTACAGCTGCAGAACACAGCATAGGAGAAGGTCAAACTTATAACAGCTGAACTCTGGTCAATGACACATGGTTCTCAAATGATCAGAACTGGGTGTCTAGGTGGGGAGTAGTTGCCAAGAAGAGGAGAGAGGTTGTTCGGAATTGCTACATTAGGATAATTGTTATTCATGAAACCCAGAACTAAGTTCATTCATCAGCAACCTTACCTAGCTCCGGGGGCAGAGTGGGGAGGCGGTTCCCCTGAATGTGGACCTCTTTAAGCTGGGTAAGCTCCCTGATTTCCTTAGGCAGTGAGATCAGGTTGTTATCCCTATTGTTGAGCTAAACAGAAGAAAACAAGGAGTTGTCAACACATTTTCACTTTAAAACGTGCTCCACAGAAACTCTCATCCTCCTCCATGTCCTCTCTTCTACTAAAACTCAGTCTTTTCCATTTGTTTACAAGTGCCGGTAGATAATCAAGAAACACTATCAGGAGCAGTGGTTTATTCCTGCAAAACAAACCTTACTCCTGCTCAAATTGACTTGATTCTATCCTTAAAAGGCTGCAGCAGTGAATTGATTTTCTAAGAATTTAGATAACTTACTGTCTGCATCTTTGTGAGCTTCCCAATATCTGGTGGCAGGATTTCAAAATTGTTGTCACTCAGATAGAGTGCACACAGGGTGGCTGCAAATTAAACAGCAATATATAAACAGGGTGGCAGGGAACCTAACCATTTGAGGTCTGATCAATACGAGGGAGTCAGCTTTGATTAATAACGCTGGCTTGGTGAAAAGCCTTTGACATACCTAGGGCTCCCAATGATAGCAAGCAGGTCAAACCAAGATTTACTGGCTTATCGTGCATCCGGTGTGTCCAGGAAAACATCTATATCCAAGAGGACTGATGCAATTAACAATGTGGGCACTAGCATTTTGGGGCACAGAGTTTTAACGCATTTTGAAAACAGATTGCTATTTTTCTCATAGATTACTTTTGATTCACATTTATATCTCCATTTGCATCCAAAGTAAAACAAAGAAAACTACTGTGCCACTTTTATGGTTACCTAGGGCAAAAAGGTTCTTTCAAGTGAATACAACTATGTTAAAATAGACCTTTTCCTATGTAAATAGCACTGTGTTAAAAATTAATGAAAGGCTTTCTGGTGATGGAGGCTATAACCATAGCTCATCAGTTCCATAATCTGACTAATTATTACTGCTTGTTTCTACAGCCTTAAGGGCAAAAGTAAATGAAGACAAAGGGGCTAAAATAATGGCATGAAGTTAACAGAGTAAATCCTAACTTAAGCAGAATATCACTAGTCAGAAATTTGTTCACAATTATTACACAATGATAATATGATTCCAAACTACTGAAGGCTAAAATTCTAAAGCATCTGTTTATCCTCAACCAAAAAAACTGATTATAATTAGGTGTATGTTTTGTTTATCAGTATTTATTTATTTCTTATAGATAAGAATCTTGCTCTGTCACCTAGACTGGAGTGCAGTGGGTCACTGCAGCCTCAAATTCCTGGCCTCAAGCCATCTTCCTACCTTCGCCTCCCAATTACCTAAGATTACAGGCACATGCTACTAATTTAATTTACATGGTTAATTTTTAAATTTTTATTTCTAGAGACAGGGTCTCTCTATGTTGCCTAGGCTGGTCCTACACTCCCAGCCTCAAGTGATCTTTGGAGCTCAGACTCCAGAACTGTACGTTAATATAACATAATAAAAACAGGTGCTCCACCACCCAAGACAATATTTTACAGTTGGTTTCATGTGCTTGAGAAAGTCATAGAGAGATAATGTACATAAGGTAAAAAGTGAAAGTTTAGAGACCAGCTCAGAAAATTCAGATTTTCTGAATGCCATATAAGTTACTAATTGAAGAAATAGAACACTCATTTAAAAGAAGCAAACCTTGTCTGAAATAGTGCATGAGTTCCCAGAAGAAATCACTTTTTTAATTTTCAAAAGCATCTTCAGCAAGAAATTTGTTGGCATATAAAAGAATAAAATGTGGCCAGTAATTTCTTAATGCCTGTGTACTAGATAAATAGGTCAATAAGAGTACTTTTTAAAAGGCTGAAGATAAGAATCCCAGCTGGAAATTTAAAAAATTTGGTTAGTGATTTATTAATAAATATTTTTATAAATAATTGATTGTGACATCCTGGGCAAATATCGCACAAAGAATTAATACCAACATGGGAGGGTACTTTTTTTTGGCATGCTATTTAAAAAGAAAGTCAAGTCTCTTAGCTAAATGTGAGGCTTGATCTCATTTCGGTACATAATCTCTCTCAGAATGTTAATATGACATTACTAAGTCCACTTCAGCCCAATGGTGTCACATAATGATATATCAAATGTACATATTGCTGAGCTACAAAGGAATATTCAAAAGGAGTCTCTAAAGTAAAAAATATCTCTGTCCAGTAATTTCTCTTGGAGTTTATTTAGGTCCTGGCAAATACATTTCACTCTTAGAACGCAAAGTATAGTGTTCAGGAGATTTATAGAACTGAAAGTTTCTTACTCAGGTAGAAGAAGTTTCCAGGAAGACAATTTTCGTTCAAGTTGTTGTAAGTCAAGTCCAGAACCTCAAGAGCTGGCAGGGAGCTGAAGCCTCGTGGCAAAGTGTTCAGCCTGTTCATGCTGTTGCAGGGGGACAAAAATCTGTTAGGACACCAAAGACATATTTATACAGATTATCAAAGGCACCTCTGTTTCACAGGCTGAAAGTGTAAGACAGTGCCATGATCCTAGAGTCACTTTATACTGTATTTTTATTTTTTATTTTTTTGAGATAGGGCCTTGCTCTGTTGCCCAGGCTGGAGTGCAGTGGCACGATCTCGGCTCACTGCACCCTTGACCTCCCCAGGCTCCTCTCACTTCAGCTTCCCAAGTAGCTGGGACCATAGGCACACACCATCACACCCCACTAATGTTGATATTTTTTGCAGAGATGGGTTTTTGCCAGGTTACCCAGGCTGGTCTCAAACTCCTGAGCTCGAGCCATTCTCCCACCTCGGCCTCCCAGAATGCTGGGAGTATAGGCATGAGCCACCAAGTCCATCCTATTTTTTTTTAATTAAAAAAAGAATTTATTTAAAATTTACATTGACAAGTGAAGATTGTACATACCTATGGTGTACAACATGATACTTCTGATATATGTATAATCCATTGTGGAATGGCTTAAATCACACTATTTAATATACACATTGCCTTGTATCATATGCTTGTCATTTTTTTTGTGTTTTGTGGTGAGAATACTAAAAATTCATTCTCTTAGCAATTTTCAAGTATACCACATACTGTTATTGACTGCAGTCACCATGACGTACAGTCCATCTCTTGAATGTACTTCTCCTGTCTAACTAAAATTTCGTGTCCTTTGGTTAACATTTCTGCAATTCCCCTCTCCCTCCAGCCTCTGGTAACTATTTTATTCCCTGTTTCAATGAGGTTTACTTTTTTACATTCCACATATAAATGAGAGGATGTGGTATGTGGTCCTATTTAGACTAATAAGTTTAGTCAGAGAGCTTATATATTCCTGAAACATTTGAAAATTTCTTAGTTGTCATTTTTCTCCAATGGCGAAATTTAATCACTGTTTTACAGAAAAACTCAAACCATCACAAAATATCTGTCCTTGTAAAGAAAAATTTCCTTATGAATGTAGTGATAATATCTCAAACTATACACATTGAAGCTTTGTAGTTTTCAGACTTTTGTTTTATTTCATTTCCTTTATTCCTTTTAGAAGGGATAATCATTTTTTTTTCCTACAACTGCTAACACTCAAAGTTATCTTCAATTAGAATGGTGATGGCCAGGGGCTGGAGGGAGGGGCAATGGAGAGATGTTTTTTAATGGATGTAGGATTCAGGTTTGCAAGATGAGAACATTCTGGAGATTGGCTGAACAACAATGTGAATACGCTTAACACCATTGAACTGTATACTACAAAGACAGTACTTTTTTTTGTTTGTTTTTTATTTTTTGAGATGGAGTCTCACTCTGTTGCCCAGGCTGGAGTGCAGTGGTGAGATCTCAACTCACTGCAACCTCTGCCTCCCCAGTTCAAGCGATTCTCCCACCTCAGCCTCCTGAATAGCTGGGACTACAGGCGCGTGCCACCAAGTCCAGCTAATTTTTGCATTTTTAGTAGTGAAGGGTTTCACCGTGTTGGCCAGGATGGTCTTGATCTCTTGACCTCGTGATCTACCTGCCTTGGCCTCCCAGAGTACTGGGATTACAGGCGTGAGCCACTGCATCCGGCCAGACAGTATATTTTATGTGTATTTTATCATAACTTAAACATTTTTTAAATCATACAATTGACCCTTGAGCAGCATGGGTTTGAACTGTCTGGGTCTAATGACACATGGATATTTTTCTTCTGCCTCTGCTACTCTCCTGAGACAGCAAGACCAACCCTCCTCTTCCTTCTCAGCCCACTCAACATGAAGAAGAGGATGAAGACCTTTAAGATGATCCACTTCCACTTAAAGAACAGTAAATGCACTTTGTTTTCCTTATGGCTTTCCTAATAACATTTTCTTTTCTCTAGCTTACTTTATTGTAAGAATGCAGAATAGAGGCGGCTGGGCGTGGTGGCTCACACCTGTAATCCCAGCACTTTGGGAGGCCAAGGAGGATGGATCCCAAGGTCAGGAGATCGAGACCATCCTGGCTAACACGGTGAAACCCCGTCTCTACTAAAAATATAAAAAATTAGCTGGGTGTGGTGGCGGGCACCTGTAGTCCTGGCTACTCGGGAGGCTGAGGCATGAGAATGGCGTGAACCCGGGAGGCAGAGCTTGCAGTGAGCTGAGATCGTGCCACTGTAGTCCAGCCTCGGCGACAGAGCGAGACTCTGTCTCAAAAAAAAAAAAAAAAAAAATGCAGAATAGAATAATAGAATACATATAACACACAAAATATGTGTTAATCGACATTTATGTTTTGGTAAGGCTTCCTGTCAACTGTAGGCTATTAGTAATTAAGTTTGTTCAGGATCAAAAGTTATGCGTGGATTTTTGACTGCATGGGGGGTCAGTGTGTTGCTTCCTCAAGCCACGTGTTGTTCAAGGGTCAATTGTGTGTGGGTGTGTGTGTGGGTGTGTGTAGTGTGTGGGTGTATATGGTGTTGTGTGTAGTGTTATGTGTGTGTGTATGGGGGTGTTATGTGTGGTGTGTGGAGGGTGTGCTGTGTGTGTGGTGTGTGTGGGTGGGTGTGGGGTATGTGTGCGGTGTGGTGTGTGTGTGTGGTGTGGTGTGTGTGTGGAGGGTGTGGTGGTGTGTGTGGTATGTGTGTGGTGTGTGTGTGTGGGGTATGGATGTGGTATGGTGTGGTATGTGTATGGGGTGTGTGTAGGGGTGTAGTGGTATGTGTGTTTATGCAGTATGTGTGTGTGGTGTGTGTGAGGGTGTGTGTGCATGTTTGTGTCTGCATGTTTCCAGTGAAATCTAAGGAAATTTTTTTCTTTTTTAAAATCATACTTTAAGTCCTAGGGTACATGTGCACAACATGCAGGTTTGTTACATAGGTATATATATGCCATGTTGGTTGGCGGCACCCATCGACTCATCATTTACATTAGGTATTTCTCCTAATGCTATCCCTCCCCTATCCCCCCACTCCCCAACAGGCCCCAGTGTGTGACATTAAGGGATTTTTTTTCTACACTATCTTTTATCCTTTTCTTTAAGCCCCTTATTTTTCTCAATGCAGTTCCCTTTGAGCATGCTTAAAAGCCAATTAAAAAAAAAAACTTTAATAAAAGTTGACAGGTATTGAAAGGTGGAAGGGACTGTGACAATAAAAATCATTCCAGTCATCGATGCTTCTCATAACAGATCAAGCTCAGTCCAGTCCTACCAAGCGGGCCTCACCAGAAACAGCTGACAGCAGAGGGGGAAACCAAAATGGAAACGTGGGTTCCCCATCTCAGGAAGAAAATGTCCCAGACAGACTACACCCAGCAAAACTACCTTCACGACTATCTACTGCCATGACAGCAACAATGAACATTCTCCATGAAGTCACAATTTGTGAAGCACATTATGGCAAGTACTTCGCTTGTTCACTAAAACTACCTTGTAATACAGGCAAGATGGAGCTTGTAATTAATGCCATCTTGAGATGAAAAAACAGCCTAAGAGAGAGTAAGGAGCAAAGACTTCAGAAGTGGGTGACATGTGTCTGGAAGCACCCTGCACCTCACGGAGGCCAAAGCCACTCCAGACCCGTGGGCTCCTATGCAAGGATTCTGAGAAGAAGTGCAAGTCAGAGACAGCAAGGGAGGTAGGGAAGCATACACTAGGTGCTTCTGTCTTTAAACACTGCTTTAAGTTATCCGTTTTTGAAAACTGATGATTCCTTAACATTTTTCCCTACAAATAAAGAAATACACTTTTGCAATATTAGGTATAGGAAATCCACAGTTGAACAGGCTTAGAGGGAAGAGGCATCTCACTTAAGAGAGAGCTCCCATTCAATCTCCAGCCCAGAGCAAGCCTGGAGCCCCTCCACCTCTTGGTGGCAAGAATCTACTTGCCAAAGGTTCCTTTTTCCTTTGAGTGACAAAACAATACCAACAACGTGTAAGGAACACAGCAGAGTCCCACGTGCAGCTGACAGCAGTATGTAACAGTAGTAGGCACACCACCCTGGGGGGCAGAAAGGAAGCCCTTAAACAAATGCTGAAACTTCAGAAGAACTGCTAGCAACAGCTCCAGCTACAAAGCGGGCAAGGAACTGCAGAGACTTCTGGCCACCTCTTCGGAGGCCAGACCATGTGCACGGTGACCTGGTGGCATCTTTCTGCAGAATGAAGGCTGGAACATGCTGGCTGTCCCCCTTCCCCTCAGCAGGTGCTAACATCCATCTCCATCCATCCACATTTCCACATGTGGGAATTCCACGTTCAGGGCCCCACTCTGACACTGCTAGCAATCAAGGTTTCCATGAGAGGTTACAGGGGGAGTAGGAACAGAATGGAGCTTTAAGGTAGGAGACAGCTAGGTGAGGAGTCTGACTCCAGTACTTGCCAGCTGCGTGACCTTGACCAAGTTACTCAGCTTCTCTGAGACCGAATTTCCTCAAGTATAAAATAAGGCTGATAACATCTTCAGGGCAGGATCACTGGGATGATGAGAGAGAAAATATGTGAAGCACCCAACACCCGATCCATGGCTCACACGCGGCTTCTCAGGAAAGGAGAGCTGCTGCTAGAATTATTTTTCAAAAGATTTGAGAGAAAATTTTGAATCAGCCCTAAGCGAGCAAGCTCACCTCATGACAAGCCACTTGGGATGGTCTGAATATCAAGTGTGGTTTTACTATTTGTGCTGTGCTTGCTTAATCTCAGGTGACTTCAGGTGTTGAAACATAAAGCTTCATAGGGCTCAGCTATGCCAAGTGGTATCAATTCTTTGTTTGCATGGGAAGATTTTTCAAATGCGTGTTGGAAGTGGGCAAATGTCTGCATATGATGGAGAAATTTATAAAACCAGGATGTCTAAGGCTATTCAGCATCTGTTTTCCTTTTCTTCTAAAGCCCCAGAAAGGTCTGTACAGACTCCTTTTCAGAGCAGTTTCTTCTCTGCAGGTTGTCTTGAACACCTCCAGCTTCAATAAAACCTTCTTGGCTAAAGGCACTAATTTTCTCAACTCCACAGTGACCTACTCACAGTTATCAAAAATAAATATTAAAAAAATCTAGGCTGAGCCCGTGGCTCACATCTGTAATTCTAGCACTTTGGGAGGCCAACACAGGCAGATTGCTTGAGCTCAGGAGCTCAAGACCAGCCTGGGCAACATGGCAAAACCCCGTCTCTACAAAAAAGACTACAAAAATTAGCCAGGTGTGGTGGCACCTACCTGTGGTCCCAGCTGCTCAGGAGGCTGAGGTGGGAGGATCACTTGAGCCCAGGAGGCATAGGTAGCAGTGAGCGGAGATCACGCCACTGCACTCCAGCCTGGGAGACAGAGCGAGACCCTGTCTCAATAAATAAATAAATAAACAATCCAAATCCATAAGTACCCCACATGGTACTTAATAAAAACTTCTATGTGTTCATGAGACAAGCTCTAGCAAAAAACAAGGTCAAACGTTATTTCTGAATAGTTGGGCACAGTGGTCCTGCTGTGAAGTTATCCTAGAAATAATCATCAGCATGGGAACATGTGTGGTTTCACATTTTTTGGAAAATAACTCTAGGAAATAAACTGTATTTAAGCAATTAAGAATAGAAATAAACTTTCTTTTATTTATTTATTTCTTTTATTATTCAGCCTAAAATTATCTCATGTCTTACAACCAACAGAATAAACTGCAAATACTATATAAAACTTTGAAAGCAAATTCATATTGAGGGTGCCTTTTGGATCACGCATACAAGTGGCTTGCCTGCTCCATTTTGTGATCTCCTGTGTGTATGCTTTCTTTCACCCTGGCTCCTTAGGATAAGGAGTCCTCCCTATAACTTGCCTTACTGTGTGAACATAATTCTTCATGCCATTTGAGGACAGAGGCATCCTTTAGTGAAACCCATCTTAGCTCCTTTCCCTAAGAACTGGGAGGTTTTCTTCAAACTTTGACAACGCCATCTATGCAGCTACATAATTAAATACAAAAAGCTTTACACAATCAATAAAACGACGACAGCCAAAAGTGTAAACAACTCCAAAGAGAACAAGAAAGCAACTAAGATGCATTCATTGAAAAAGAAAAGTTTAGGGCTGGGTACAGTGGCTCATGCCTATAATCCCAGCACTTTGGGAGGCCAAGGCGAGTGGATCACCTGAGGTCAGGAGTTCGAGACCAGCCTGACCAAGATGGTAAAATGGCATCTCTACTAAAAACACAAAAGTAGCTGGATGTGGTGGTGCATGCCTGTAATCCCAGCTACTTGGGAGGCTGAGGCAGGAGAATCGCTTGAACCCAGGAGGTAGAGGTTGCAGTGAGCTGAGATTGTACCATTGCACTGGAGCCTGGTCAAGAAGAGCAAAATTCTGTCCCCAAAATTAAAAAAAAACAAACAAACACACACACAACAAAACAAAACAAAACAAGAAAAACAGAAAAGAAAAAGAAAAGTTTACAGCTCTGTCCTACGGTGCCTCAAATCAAACAGAACAAAACCTGAGCTTATTATTTTCTCCACAAACCTGTCTCCATCTGTTCTATTTTTCAGCTGTCCAACACAGAAACGTAGGTATCATTCTATCCCATCAGTTACTGCTGTCAATGTTACCACCTGTATAGTTTTCATATAAAATCCCTCCCTGCCTCCACTGTCACTGTCCTAGTTCACATGGGACATGAAGCTCATGTTCTTACTGGTCTCCTAACCTCTAGTTTCCCTCCCTCCACCCTCTTCTCCACACTGATCTTTTGTAGGAAAATCTGACCATATCTCATATCCACTACTCGGCTATGCAAATTTCTCAATTGTCAGCATGATAAAATTGGAGCTCGTTTATTTATTTATTTATGTATTTATTTTTGAGATGTAGTATCACTCTGTCACGTAAGCTGGAGTACGATCTCAGCTCACTGAAGCCTCTGCCTCCTAGGTTCAAACGATTCTCCTGCCACAACCTCCTGGATAGAATAGCTGGGATCATAGGTGCACACCACCACACTTAGTTAATTTTTGTATTTTTAGTAGAGATGAGGTTTCACCATCTTGAGGAGGCTGTTCTTGAACTCCTGGCCTCAGCTGACCCACCAGCCTCAGCCTCCCAAAGCGCTGGGACTACAGGCGTGAGCCACCATGCCCTGGAGGAGCTTGTTTATTTAGCACAGAGGCCTTTCATTAGCACTTTTGACTCCCTGTCATTATTATAAACATTTATTTGTTTATGATTGGTTTCCTCAACTGTAATGGAAGCTCCATCAGGGCTGGATGGCCAGTAGCTAGAACCACGCCTGGTACACACTGGGAACTTAGTAAATCCTCATTCACTGAACAGCAGATATCCAGGATTCCCTGTCTAGTCTGACCTCTGACCTTACAGCTGCCTGCCTCACACATTATACTCAACAGTGCCCAAAACCCGACAATTCCTAGGCCCCAGGCAGGCAGTGCTGTGAGCGTTTAAATATGTCATTTGCGACTGGGTGTGGTGGCTCACGTCTGTAATCCCAGCACTTTGGGATGTCACGTGGGTGGATCACGAGGTCAAGAGATCGGTCGAGACCATCCTGGCCAACATGGTAAAACCCTGTCTATACTAAAAACACAAAAATTAGCTGGGCATGGTGGCGTGCGCCTGTAGTCCCAGCTACACGAGAGACTGAGGCAGGACAATTGCTTGAACCTGGGAGGCAGAGGTTGCAGTGAGCCAAGATCACATTACTGCACTCCAGCCTGGCGACAAAGCAAGACTCCATCTCATAAAATACATAAATAAATTTTAAAAAAGGCAAATATCTGGCCAGCATCTATTGCCACTCCACATCAATCACTAACTTAACCAGAACATTTAGTGGCTAAAATTTAATGAATATACGACTTTGCACAGAGACTGAAGCATGAGTGGGCAGTTTCATCTAACAGCTGTGCCAATGAAGATGGAATTCTGATGCCGCAGTTCCAATTTGGGTCTATGGATGTGTTGGTCTGTTCTCCCATTGCTATAAAGGAATGCCTGAGGCTGGGTAACTTATAAGAAAAGAGATTTAACTGACTCATGGTTCTATCAGCTGTATAAGAAGCATGGCAGCCGCTGCTTGTGGGGAAGCCTCAGGGAGCTTTTACTCATGGTGGAAGGCAATGCAGGAGCCTGTGTATTACATGGCAGGAGAAGGATAGCACGAGGGATCTTGCAATAACTCACTCACTATCATAAGGACACTACCAAGAGGGGATGGTGCTAAACCATTCATGAGAGCTCCACCCCCATGATCTAATCACCTCCCACCAGGCCCCACCTCCAACACTGGAGATTACAATTCCACATGAGATTTGGTGGGGACACAGATCCAAACCATATCAATGGAGTCTGATGGAGCCTTTAGACCCATAACCTATGGGGTTCTCTTCCCAGCTTGGCCACTAACCTCAGGGGTGACCAGAACCCAGTCCCTTAGCCCCTTTGAAAAGGCTTGGCTTCCTCTGTATAAAATGAAAGCACTAAAACTTGCCCTCCCTACCTCACAAATGTTGAGAGGATCAAGTGCTGCAAAGCAATACATGAAGACAGGTTATCATTATTATTATTTACTGCTACCTGGTTCTGCAACCTCAGTTGAATCAAAACTCCTCTCTTCACCTTGGCATAAAGAAAGACAGAGAATTTTCACCTCTCAACTACAGAGAAGAATTGCAAAAATGAATGAAGCAACATTAGGGAATACATTCTTCCTTCCATGGCATGAAGGTGCTTTGTAAACCACACCTATTTAACACAGAGAGAAAAAAAAACAACCATATTACAACTTGTCTGCCAGTTCATGCTAGGCAAGTAAGTCCCTTCTTGGTCAAGAGAACTGAGATAAAATTTTACTGGACACAAAATACAGTAAAAATGTAACTTCCTTATTATGCCAACTATTAGCTTCTCAATTAGCTCTCAAATATTCACTAATGTAGGCCACGGAAAGGATATATTAAAACAATAAAACATTTTTTAAAGCCCAAAACACAAAAAGAAATTAGAAATCCACTTCTGTGCAATGATATAAATGGAATTCCTCCCCTGGCCCTACCCAGCACACCCCTTCCACTCTCTTCCTCTCCATCCTTTCCCCTCCACTGATACTCACCCAAGGTTCAGGTGTTTGAGTTTTTGATGGCTGCTGATCTGTGTGGGCAGCTCCTTGATCTGGTTATTTAAAAAGCTGAGCATTTCCAAATTCTTCAGTTCTGCTATGTTTGGTGGTACCACCATGGAAACATAAATGTGAATCTGGGAACAGAACTCCTAGCAAGGGATGGCAGCAGCACATTTTGCTTTTCTTCAAAGCAAAGAAAGATATAACTCCAAAAGGACCATTGAATTCACCTATCAGTCTTACTTATTTTTTATGGGTTTTTAATAAGCTATCGCTCACTTCTGAGTGGCCGCTGAAATGCTTTTTCGTGTATCATTAGCTAAGTGCTTGGCATAGTTTGTTTCAGATGGACAATGAAGAGGGAAACAGAGCAAAAATGCACAAAAGAGAATTTGTGTACCATAGCAGCCTATAAAATTGAATATTATGAAGCATACATACTTATAGTGGTCGTATAGGATCTTTTAAGTGCAATTGTTTTTTTCCTTTTGGTTTTCTTGCATTGCCACCAGAAGAAAGACAGCAACCTCCAAATCCCTTCCTGGGTGACGTACATTGAAGCTGTTTAAATAACCCAGTATCTGAAGAGCTGTCCTCTTAACATTGCATTATATTAGCTCAATTTTAAATAATGAAATATTCGACCTCCCTAGTTTCTGATTTTGGCCTCTGGAGTAATGTATCTTGATCAACACCACACACACATGTAGACACACACACATACATACACATACACACACACAAAGGTTACATCAGATTAGCAACAGATCGATATACTGTTATTATATAGAAATAAAAAAGTCAACTCAGCAGCATGCTATGAATACTAGTATGCAGATCAAAGGTGAAAATCAACCACTGGGGACCTGAAAGTTTCCTCCTTCCTTAGTATGTGTATGTATGTGTGTGTGTGTGTGTGTATATATATTTATATGTGTGTGTGTGTATATATATATGTGTGTGTGTGTGTGTGTATATATATATATTTATACTTGAAAATACAAATGTAAAAGCCAAAGACATCTTTATCTCAAAAGCACAAACTATAAATTGGCAGCAGAAGGACTTTCCATAGGCTGTAATTCATCTATCCCATTTGCTATTCAATCATTCTTCAAACATTTGTATGGCGATAAGCTTGGCCATGGTTCATGTAAACTCTGATACCAAGACTATCCAGGTAACTAAAAACATGAACAGGGGCCTGGAGCCCAGCTCGAAAAAGTGTGATATCTCATATCAGTCAGGTTTACTTCCCATCCCATCTGCTTCCTCCAGGGGTGCCCCAGGAGGCTGGAAAACCAACCTGCTTGCCTGCAGTCAGACCAAAGTGCCTGCAGGGCTCATTAACTTCTTTTTGGCTGGAAGCACCTCCACTTTGCTGGACAGGCTGGAGAAACCAGAGTCCATCTGATTTCTGGACTGACACGGCCCCTCCCTGAGCAACAGCTTTACTCCTAAAAGGACATGTATCTATGGCCATTGGTTACATCTGCAACAAGCATGAGCCACCCGGCACTGCAGTTGATGCACATTCACAAAATCAACAATCAATCAGCTCAAGAACAGCTTCCCTCAACCGGCCAGCAGCCCACAAACTATCTCCCCTCCACACGAAGAATCAAAATCAACTACTTAGGTTATAACAATTGCATTTCAATTCTGTTGAATTGAGTAAGGAAGATTCTGTTCTATGATCTAAAATTAATAATTCCACAACCAACAGCTTAAGCATTTTAGGAGTTTATACAATAATAATTAACAGGGTGTGTTCTGGGGCTGGGCTATCTGATGGACAGCCACTAGCTACATGCAGCTATTTGAATTTAAACCCAGATTAATCAAAATTAAATAAAACGATGAATGCTATTATTTGGTCACAGCAGCCACATTTCAAGAGCTCAACAGACACATGTGGTGTCTAGTGGTTCCACTACTGCATGGCAGGGATACTGACCATTTCCATCACCACAGAACGTTCTATTAGACAGCCCTGCTCTATGGCAGTGGGTCTCAAACCACAGAGACATCAGAATCACCAGAGGGCTTGCTGAAACACAGATGGAGGGGTATCTCGGAGTTTCTGATTTGGTAAGTTTGGGGTAAAGCCTGAGAATCTGAATTTCCAGCAACTTCTCAGGGGATGCTGATGTTGCTGCTTTGGGAACCATATTTTGGTTCAGAAAACTTAATTCATTGGCAGCGTCAGGATAATCAATCCAACACATATGTCCCTTACCCTGTGCAATAATGCGATGAGTATAATAATCAATCTTATCCAAATGAAGACGCCTATTGAGCTGGGGGATTGACAAGAATGAAACACATGATACTCTAGATAGCTAATACGTTCAATGTGGGTGCCACAAGCAAACACTTTCTAGTCAACTTCTGCTTCCCCACACAGGATTTTATGCTAAGATTAGTATTGCTTAAGATGGATAACTCCAGATTTCATGCCTGTGCTGTGGATGGAAAGCATCATGTGTTCAGAGCAGCTTCTGGCTTCCCGGCAGCCGTGGGTGTGCGTTAGCGTGGTGCAGGGTCTAGTGCTGCCCTTCTGGAGCTGAAGAGAACCCGGCTGTCGCTGGTAACCGTATGACTCTAAAGACCAAAGTGTGACCCCCTGACCCTCCCGTGGGCTGCACCCAAGCACAGCTCCCATCCTTATGTTTTTGTGTGGTGCCTGCTGCTCCCAGAGTCTGCCACTCCTTACAGCTTTGTGTCTTTGTCTCAAGGGCCACAAGATGCTTTTGCTCAAAAAGCACCCCAATCAGCTGCACCCAAGCTGGTCTGTCTGTGCCATCACTACCACCCAGCATCCTACCGTTAGGGCTCAGTGTTTTGAAGTATAGCAGGTGACATTTCTTTGCATGACCACCCTTGGTCACTATGAATTAATTCAGTGTGCACTGAGTGACTTAATTCAGTGTGCTAGGGAATTCAAGGCTTTTCTCCTCTGGAAAGCACTTTATATGCAAAAAAAGAAAAAAAGGTCATTTGTAGTTACAGTGATTAATTACGTTTGTTTTCTGGCCAAAAACACAAGGTGGATAATGAACTTATTACATATTACCATAAGAGTTTGAAGTTCAAAAGTATACTAATGATAACTGGCTTCACAGATTTTATGGGATTTCACCCAAAGCAGCTATTAAAGGAGTGAATTACAGTAGTTCTAAGTTATTTAAACATAAAGTTTATGAAACAGTGAAATTCTCATTTAGAAGGTTCTACATGTTCCTCAAGGTAAACATAAAATATCAAAATATCTAAGCATCTACCCCAAAAAGGCCAACAAATAATAGCTTTATAAGTAACAAAGTTCTCCAAATATTATTAGCTTTATAAGTAACAAAGGTAATGCTGCTTTCAGTTAATAAACAACAAGTATTTACTGAGAACCTGTGCCCCGAAAACACATGCTCACTCTATCCTAGTATGAGCCGCCTCAGGATTCTATAGCCTAAGTCACTTTAGTAAACAAAAAAAATCCCTGGCTTAACTCACTGCAACACAATGGTCCTACTCTTTCAGCAGCAATGTGAAAAATCAATTACATGAAAATTAGAGGAAAAAGTATAAGCAATTAATAAGGTAGATTTTAAAGTATAAAGCCAAACATGCAAAAATATATGTTCCTGAGCTATAAAAGGTGTGTATGCATAACCAAACAAATCTCCTAAAAAACTGACAAGCATAGATTTCTTCTCCTCCAAGGATATAAAAATTAATTTCTGAATCTTGTGTTAACTTCCAAAGCATCTTCAGGAGGACATATGAACTCTGAATTCTTGCAGGAACACCGCTTCTAAATTGATTCCAGTTCTGATGTGCTACCCCTCCAGCAAAGCCGTACTTGAATAAAGAGCTTTAATTGGGGAGCTGGGAGGGAGAAGCAGCACCGAGAGGAAAGGAAATGGCATTCAATGGCATTCAGTGGCATGGGGAGGAAGTGACACCCAGCGAAGGGTAAGAAAAGGAAGGGTAGGAAAATTGCCCAGGAAATTCCAAAACACTGGGAAGAGAGAGAAAGAGAATATGAAAAAAAACTTCAACCCATCAATGGAGAAAAACAAGCTCAGTGTTATAAAAGGAGTGATCTAGGCTCTTTTATGTGAGTACACGTCTTTATTATGTATAATATATATGAATGTATATCTACATGTAAGCCTCGATTATTAGCATTACGTGGTAGACAGTAAGCAAGTCACATTCTATCTTGCACTCTTACACACACACATAAAAAGCATGTTTTGCCATTAGTTTCTGTCTTCTTTTACAATTAAGAATTAATCTAGCTGGGCGCAGTGGCTCACACTTGTAATCCCAGCACTTTGGGAAGAAGCTGAGGTGGGTGGGTTACTTGAGCCCAGGAGTTTCAGAACAGCCTGGCCAATGGGGCAAAATACCACCTCTACAAAAAATTAGCTTGGCATGGTGGTGCATGCCTGTAGTCCCAGCTACTCAGGAGTCTAAGGTGGAAAGATCACTTGAACCTGGAGGTTAAGGCTGCAGTGAGCTGAGATTGTGCCACTGCACCAGCCTGGGCAACAAAGAAAGACCCTGTCTCAAAACAAAAACAAAAACAAAACAAAACAAAAAAACAAAAGGGAATTAATCCAGCAAGAGGACAAAACTGGACTGCTTCTCTTCCTACTGGACCTTATCTTTAGGGTCGCTGCATGAGGAGGGCAGGAAGGGGAGGGAAAGGAAGAGGCCCAGGGCTAGGAAAATCCACCAAATCCACATAGGAGCTTTGATCTTTCCCTCTGAACTAACACAACTATGGCTTTTAATCTTAGGAACTGTCCCTGTTCTTCTACTGGAATGAGTAAGGATCCAGAGCCACAGGAACACTTCGTCCATGGTGCTCCTAGATTGACCTGATGGGACATCTCAAGTGCACACACACATCACTTTCAGAGACAGCAGGGGACATGGTGGAGCAGCCACTTGGAAGCCGTGCAGAAAGCTCTGTCTTTCCCTCCTTCTGGTCATTTAACCACTTTACACCTGTTTCTTTCACGTGATACAGAGTGAGGGTTCAACAAATTTGCTCTTTCCCTTTCATCTCCTTCTGAAGTTATTACATAGGTGTTGTTCTTGATGGTCCCGCAGGCTGTGGGGTGCCTTGTATTTCTTTCCACACAGGGCTGGTTCAGTTGGATGAAAAGGAGGGCTTCACAGAGAAAGATGAGCATTCATCTCAACTTTCTGAAGGATGAGCAAAATTCAGAGAGAGGGGTAGGAACTTCAGATTTTAGAAAAAATCAGGTGACTAGAACAAAGAATATTTAGGCAGGGGGAAAAAAAAGCTAAAGAAATAGCAAAAAATTAGACAAAAGAGGGTTCAGACTGAAAACAGCAAAATGCAAGGTCAATGAATTGGTTAACTGGTTATCAATTGTATTCAAGTGGTTTTGGCCTACGAAGCTAAAGGAGAAAACGAAAAATGGAAATGGGAAAGGTATTCCCTTTAAAAAAATCTGCATGTGCCCACACCATGTTCCATTCAAGCCTGGGAGCTACAGGATTACAAATTCTTATTTAACCAAATGTAAATTTAAGCAGATTAATAAGGAGGCACTTAGCAACATTTTTAAAGAAGCCATCAAGAATGAGTTCTGTGATGCATTAAAAATCATCTAAAGTTTCATACAAATTTCCAAGAAGCATCTCCTTTAAGAAATAGCATCACTAGACCAAGGCAGACAGATTGCTTGAGTCCAGGAGTTCAAGACCAGCCTGGCCAACATGGTGAAAGCCATCTCTACTAAAAACAAAAACTAGCTGGGCATGGTGATGCACGCCTGTAGTCCCAGCTACTAGGGAGGCTGAGGCAGAAGAATCGCTTGAACCTGGGAGATGGAGATTGCAGTGAGCCGAAATCGTGCCACTGCCTTCCAACCTGGGTGACAGAGTAAGACCCTGTCTC